ATCAGGGACTATTTAGAACTATTTCTCAAACTTCAGGGACAAAAAATGCTTATTTTAAAGCTTCATCAACCAAGTTGACACCTGCTTCAAACCTCAGTGACTAAAAGTGCTCATTTTGAAACTTCAGGGATCAAGTAGGCATGTACCTCAAACCTTAGGGGCCAAAAATGAGAATAAAAAATGGGTATATGATAACTCTCCAAAAGAGAGTTATTTGAGTAATTAACTGCGTAAATCTGTGCATAATAGTGAGGTTGTGTGTGTGAAATTGCGTTTTGTGTCCGAAATTGCTTATAGGAGTGAAGAATTGAATGAAAAGTAAAAGAGTATGCTTTTAACTTATTTATTTGATAATTTGGTACAGTTTCTTCTTAGCTCCCTACTTTCGACTTCTTTTGTGTAGGATAGGAAATTGGAGAGATGAACTAGTGGGAATGTAGCTGAACTAAAGGAAAGGGCAGGAGCATTATCGTGCCAAAGCACATAAAGCTGGAGCAACTGCAGGCGGCAGCACGTGACCACACTGTAATTGACCACGAATGGATTTTAATCGTGCCTGTACAGAGACCAACTAGGTACCTTAAAATTAGGACCTGGTATAAAAGGGGTAAAGTTACCTCAGCCGACACATATAAACACATCCCTAGAGAGAAATATTCCTTGCATGGTGCTGAAGACAAGAGAGGAGACACCCATTTTCGAGAAAAAAGTTGACGACAAGGGCTAGAGCTACTGGTTTTTTGTCTTTAACTAGCAACCTCTAGGTGCTTTAGAGTGCTCTTTCATGAAATGGGTTATATCGTCCTTTTACCCATTGTATTTCTCCCCTCCCCATGAACTAACCCCCATTTCGGAGGAGATTTCATGTTGTAATTCACAAACAGTAATATTCTAGCTAATTGACGTGCTGATAAATAGAGTTGCATTAATGTTTCATCTTATTGATTTTTGATGGCCATTTCTTTCGATTTGTTAGTTCTTGTATGATTTGGAAGTATACACAAGTTGTGTGAATAGCTCTATTTGTGGTTAGCTACTTTTCTTTAGTAGATTTGTGGAAATGAGGTCTTCATGCTTGTAAACTGCTCTTTTATGCTTGGGTATTTAGCAATGGGAGTTGTAAATACTCATTTATAGGTGTTTTGGAAAGGAACCATGTCGGTTTGAGCATCAACCATGTTTTTAGAGTGTTGCCTATAAGTGAATGAAAGTTGAAGAATCTCTCATATCTTAACATATTTTTGTTTTATCTCAAATTTATCTGTGCTAAAGCGTTTCTTGGCCCAGCACCTGCTAATTGTGTCTTTTTTCTCTTGGAGTCATTTTCACGCACATGTCTAATCGTTTAAATTTTAGCTAGTTATCCCTTGATAGTATTTTGTTACTACGTAATTCTTGAACACGAACTTGAGATTTAACACTCAATCCCTCTGGATTTCGACCTTATTTATACTACAATCGACGAATATGGTGTACACTTACACTTGTATTCACATTGGTTATGGACACGCAATAAGTTTTTGGTGCCATTGCTGGAGATTTTGTTGTTGTATTTTAAGTAATAGTGTTTGAGAATATGGCGCTGAAAGAGTTTTCTCTTTCTTACATTTTCGATTTGGCCTACAGCACTTGCGCACTCGCCCCCTTGACGCCAAAACTTGCTTGTCGCCCACTCCATGCCATTTGAGGAAATTATTTCCTTTTTATTTTATTTAGATTATTTTATTTTTAAATAAATTAGATTTAAGGAAATAGATCGCACTGCTGGAAATGTGTTTGCAATTAATTTATTTTCTTTTATTAACCTTAGATTTTAGGTTTATTTTATTTTACAAAATTCTCGGAAAATGTCATTGGCTTTTGCCTATAAATAGATGTCTTTCCCTTGTAGTTGAGATAGCTAGCGAACTTTGAATTAAGTAAAACTTGAGAGGTTTCTATTACCTTTGACTACGTGCAACCTCTCCCCAAATATTGTATTCTTTTGGGTGGTTGAACTTAGGATATTTTATTTACCCTCGGAGCGTGCTTGTTTATTGGTCACCAAACTTGTGGAGCGTTTCTGACCTTGAGTATAGTTAGTAATCTGTCTACTCTTTCTAACGACTACAAAGGTAATCTACCAACCTTTCCTCACGAGTTGATGATTGGTAACAAGTGGCTAGAGGCTCGAGAAGTTTATACGCTTGGATTGTCGCGTATCGATGGTTAACTAAGAATTCAAATAAATATTTTAAAGAAATGTTAAAAATATATCAAATAAATTTCAAGGAAACCGGCGTAATTTTAAAAAGCATAATGGTTACTAAGAGTGGTTAAAATAAATAAAAAATTAGGTGTAACAAAAGTTTAATCGAATCACTTTCTTCAAACATTTTCTAAAGTCCAGAATTGGAGACCTTGGGAAAAGTCAACAAAAGTTCAAATAGGAGACCAGGAAGCCTCGAAGCCCCTCAACTTTAAAATAATAAGTATTATATACTAAATAATAGCCTGGACTTTTCAAGATCATACATTGGCATAGTAGATCGTGCCACCAAGTCTCTAAGGTAGGAGGCATTTGAAGTTGTCTATACTTTAGGCCGGACCTGTAAGTCAAAGTTAAAATGAGCAAGTTCAATATAGACCACATAAAAGAATCAACCCAAATTTGTGATGTTATTCATCATTGGTTTCCTGGGAAAACTCTTCCACGTCATCACCTTTTTAATATGTTCAACAACACATAAGCAATAGAACATACTAAATCAATCATCATTCTACGAGCACAGCAACATGCATTCAATATACTCAACTCTAAGTGTTCTCAACTACAAGGCTCACTAAGCCTCTAGCTCTCTCAAGCCTTTTCAAACTTATCTCAAATTTCTACCAGACATATTCCAACTCTCATCACATAGATCCTTGACCATTTGTACTTCAGGTCCCGATACTTTATCCAACATTGGCGTATCGACCATCAACCATTTGTACCCAATAGTGATGTATCAGCGCTCAACCATTTGGACTCGAGGCCCTGATACTCGCCCATTCTTTTCCCATTTCATTCCAGAACTCACATCCAATCCTAGTCTCCTACGAGGATCTTAGCACATACTCTCTAAGTCATACTAACAACGACTCTTCACAATAAGTCAATCTGGCATGCTGTTATCTTGTCAAACACAACCACATTCGCTCTCTCAACAACATCAACCTGCTATTCACAAATTAAGCCACAACTAACAACTTTCCAGCATGGTTTTAATCGTACATAAAAATAAGCACAATAAACCTCACAACAAATCAGTATGCTTCCTTCACAAAATAAACAATATAACATTAATAACCTCAACAATAATATCTTCAACACATTTTAGCAAGTATATGGTTAACATACATCTCATCCGTCCATAAAAGTTCATCATAAACAGCATAACATGCTTCTAGTCCAACAACAACTAAGAAACTATAAGAGATATATGTTAGAGTAAACATACAGCAACACAAAGACACAATCACGCACGAACACGCCCCAATCTTATACATGTCTGAATGGCAAAATACATATCATCTTTACAACCTCATTGGTCGGTAAAAATTAAAGGATATGAAGAAGAACGGAATCTAGCAATTTTCTAATTCGATCAACTTGTTCTTCTTTACTCTTTAGTCTCTTTGATATATGAATTATATATATCTACTATGGGTTTTTTTCACTCTCTCCGATGTATAGAGGTTTGCAACTTAGCACTTGACCGCACGATGCAAATTAAAGAAACTACAACATTAGTTTCCTTCCAACAGAAAAAAGTAAGTATCAACTTCGCTATCTATTTCGAGAGTTGAAGAGTTAGGTTATCCTAGTGAGATTTTGATCAGGATCTTTTTGTGCTCCTATAGGCAATTTGGAATTCTCAGACTTTGGTTTATGGGGGAGAAATCGATGACGGATATCAGTATTTGGGTAGAGCAATATATCACAAGTTAGAGGTCAATTTGAAACATAAATAGACAAAAAGCAATGTGAAAGCTTCCCTTGGGTGATTTTTATAAGGTCAACACAGATGCACCATTTATTGCAGGTCGGGACTAGCATTATCATTCATGTCCTAAGGGGCAAGGTACTACAGCAACTTGAGCTTCAAGCCTCCTCGACTTTTAAACACTTAGAATTATTACTAGATAATAAACCAAGCCCCCAGGGCAGCCGGTGTTCAAATCTTCACCTTAAACTTTTTTTTTTTTAATTTCTACTATATATATATATATATATTCTCTAATTTTCTTTATATAAATATAAATATATTTTTTTGTTTAAAATTTTTACTATATATTATATATTTTTACTTATTATATATATAATTAAAAATATAATTATATATATATACAATTTTTATATAAATATAAAGATATCAATTTAAAAAAAAGACACTTACTAATATATATATATATATATATATATATATATATATATATATATATATATATATATATATATATATATATATATATTAAGTCTAGGGGTGTCAAAAAAAATCTGATACGCCGAAGAACCTGAGCAACCCAACCCCAACCCAACCGTTGGTTAAATTTCAGTTTGTGATTTGGTTCGTAGATTTAGAAAAGAAGATGTTGGTTCAACCTGAATCAAACCGGTTTGTGGTCACTTTTGTTTATGTTTTTGTCCCTACAAGATGCATATTCTACCTACGGAATGCATACCTAAATTTTAAAATATAATATTTCTTGGAAATTGCATTCTCACTGCCACTTTTATTACATACAACGTCTTCCACGGCCACATTGTAAATTTGGATTTTACAACAAAAGATGTATATAGAGAAAATGTCCGAATAATTTATATATATATATATAAATAGCAGGTAAAAATACTCAATGATAAATAACAATTTTGCTCTATTTTATGCCTTTTTTTTTTTTTTTGAGAAGAAAACAACTTAACATAAAACAAATTCCGGAAAAACTAAATTGTCCAGCCACGAGGGAGTTTGACAACTTCACTCTTCCCTCAAATCGTTTTCCATCGCTCGTCTGGCTAAGTCATGGGCCACCTTATTTGCCTCTCGACTGATATGTCTCATTGAAACTATCTTCATATCTTCCATCATCTGCCAAATTTCTTCCAAAAGCCAAATAATTTCAGTTTGATCTTGACACTGTCTGTGAAGTAGATGAATGGCTTCGAGGGAGTCAGATTCCAAGTGAATTGGTCGACAGTGTTCTTGTTGAATTGGTCGACAGTGTTCTTGTCGAATCGCACGCAATCCCTCGCAAATAGCCATCACCTCTAGGTAAGTAATATTTCTTTCCGTTCTTATAATTCTACAGTCTGCTTTGATGACTTCTCCCTTCTCGTCTCTTAAAATCCAGCCAATCCCGCCAGTGTTTGTATCAGCTCGCCATGCTGCATCCGTATTTAACTTCCATGAATTTGACGTGGGAGGTTTCCATCGGGCACCTGTATTATCTCCAATTCGCCTTATCAGGTGCAAGTCCTTGTTTGCCGACTTTCCTTTTAGATTTGTGTCTCGACCTGCACTGTTGATTATGTATCTGTCAATCACCAATTGAATATCTCTAGTTTCTGAATGAACACCTTTGAAAATTGATTTGTTCCGCATTTCCCAAATCTGCCAAGCTATTATCATGCTTCTTCTACGTTCTTCTTCACCAGCCTTATCCATTAGCCACTCCTAATACTCTTTTGTAGTCCAGTTTGTCCTGTTAATGTAGAAAAAATTTGCTTCAATAGGGGTGTAATTTATCCATATATCTTTAATTACCTTACATTCCCATAGTATATGTTGAGTAGTCTCTTCTTTTTTCCCGCAAAAAGGACAAAACAGATCAGTAATAATTCTTTTTTTCACCAGATTAACTTTAGAAGGAATAATATCATTATAACTCTTCCAACAGCAGATTTTAATCTTTGGGGACACATTAGTTTTCCAGAACTTCTTCCACCACAGCTTTTGATTTTCGCCATTAGAAGTAGAACATTCTTTTGCTCGCTCCAATTCCATCCCCAAGTGATAGGCGCTTTTAACCGTGAAAAACCCTCTTTTGTCTTTATTCTATATAATTTCATCTTCTTGACTCTGTCGCGGTAAAGGAATTTTAAGAATCATTTCAGCTTCTTCCTCACAAAAGTTATCACGGACAAGATTCTCATTCCACTTTCCCCTTTCACTCATTAGACATGCCACAGAATTGTGCTTCATCCCATCTTGGACATAAACTGGTGTGCAGTTGCCTTCTCGAGGAATCCATGGATCATTTCCTATGGTAACAGTCGCCCCATTCCCAATTCTCCATCTACAGCCTTTTACAAACAAATCTTTGGCCCACATTATACTTTGCCAAACAAAGGAAGGATTTTTCCCAATTTTAGCCCTCATGAAGTTACCATGAATAAAATATTTTCCCCTCATAACCCTCGCAAAAAGACTATCCGGACTCCTAATCAATCTCCAACATTGTTTTGCTAGCATAGCTTGATTGAAAATGCTCACATCTTTAAAACCCATACCCCCTTTATCTTTACTGATACACGTCTTCTTCCAACTCCTCCAATGTATTTTCTTTGTCTTATCTGATGATCCCCACTAAAACTTAGCACATAAAGAATTGATTTCTTTGCACAAGCTAACAGGTAACCTGAAACAATTCATGGCATAATTAGGAATGGCTTGAGCAACTGCT